GTTCTGGAGGCTGGGAAGTCCAGGATCAAGGCACCAGCAGATTTAGTGTCTGGTGAGGTCCAGCTTACTGTGTCCTCACATGGTGGAAGAGGCAAGGCAGCTCTCTGGAGCCTCTTTTATAAGGTCACTGATCCCATTCATGAGAGCTTTGCCCTCATGACCTAATCACCTCCCAAGAGCCCCACCTCCAAATACCAACACATTGGTGATTAGGTTTAAATATGAATTTGGGAAGGACACGACCACTCAGACCATAGCATATATAATCTCTAAGCATGATGGCAGGCACATAGCAGGGGCTCAGTAAATCAGTGAATGGTAGTTATAAGATTAGTGAGAAAGCGGAACAAGGGGCTGGGGGAGTGTCTTCCCATGTACTTCCTTGCTTTTGTCAGTTTAGGGAAAGTGTCATAAGATAGCACACATGTTGAAACTGAGACCTACTCCAAAAGGTTCTAGTTGTACAGCCACAAACATATTAACTTTTGTGCAGTTTATACTGGCAGATCCCCAATAGTTCAGAATTAACACCTAGTGTTTAGTGGTTGAAAATAGGTTTTGCTGTCATTGTGGACATCTGGAATGGAAAAATGTGGGGAACATTTAAAAATTAAATGTCTAGACTGATTACATCTGCTGATGTAGGAATGGATCTTAGGTTGGCTTATAGGTAAATACTTAAAAAAAAATCTTTAATGAAGTTTACCTTTTGTCTCTCCTATTGTTTACCCAGAGGAGAGTAAATCTTTTTGTCATTATTAAACCTTGCTTCATCTAATTGCACGGTACCTTGAAACCATCTAGCAATAATCTAAGAAGTTGTACTTTTTTTCTTATCCGAGTCCCAGTAGTAGTGGTAAGATACATGGAGGAAGGAAATCTTACTGTTCCTCTGACCTTTACAGATCCAACTGGAACTAACTGGCTTATTTCTAGACCAAAATAAGTATAAAGAAAGTTCAGCTAATCTGGGACTCAAGCATGTACCAGAGACACTAAACAAGCTAGTGAGGCTTGTACAGGGTACTAATAGATCAGTATCATTACAACTATCAAGATTTGACTTTGAGTTTAAAACTTTTCATTAAAAATGACTTTGGAAAATTACATACAGCATAGATGTGCAAATTTGCATTACCTTTTAACATATTCCAGTGCTTTGCAGACAGAAAGGGGAATTGGATCTCCAGTCCACGGATACATGAGTGGGATTCATCCTAGGCAAACGGCTTGGACTGTAATCTACTTTCCCTTGTTCTTCTACACTCTCTCCACATTGGGGATTTTCCATTATTTTCTCCTAATTGGGCTCCAAAGCCCTAGTCTTTCTCTACATCATCATCATCGCTAAATTTGGCTTCACACTTCTCATTCCCACTAAGTTATAAATGACTGATAATGACTTAAAGTGTTGTGCTCCCTCCAAATAATATTTCCATTTTCTTTTTTTTTTTTTTTTGAGACAGAGCCTCAAGCTGTCCCCCTGGGTAGAGTGCTGTGGCATCACAGCTCACAGCAACCTCCAGCTCCTGGGCTTAAGCAAGTCTCCTGCCTCTGCCTCCCAAGTAGTTGGGACCACAGGTGCCCGCCACAATGCCCGGCTATTTTTTGGTTGCAGCCGTCATTGTTGTTTGGCGGGTCCAGGCTGGATTCGAACCCGCCACCTTAGGTGTATGTGGTTGGCGCCTTAGCTACTTGAGCCACAGGCGCCGAGCCATATTTTCATTTTCTTAAGAGACCTATCTCAAGTCCTCTATGGAAGAAATTCTGGGGTAGAATTTTCACTATCATTCAGTTTGGGGCTTAGGAGGGAGTAATGTGCTGGAGAGTGTTTGTGGTCATATGGGATCTTCCAACTGCTCTGAAATAATAATCCTTAGGCATTGCCTTCCCTACAAGTTCCTGGAGGCCTCTCCCACTTCTTTCCTGGGTAGTTCCCAGTGCTACAAAATAGGCTTGCAGTAAGGAGGATAGCGTCTATTGATAGATAAACTCAAGTATATATATTTTTTGTTTTTCAAAAAGGAACTTTGTATAGTCCAGGAAACCTCCCTCAAGCAGATGCAGTGACCCTTGTTGATCCACATTTCATTTTCTGATCAGCTTATTTGTTTTCAAATTTAGCCGAATACCAGTTCAAGTGAATAATACTGGTGCTGCCATAAGGCAGTCAACACTCTTGCTAAGGAACACCTAAAACCAAAAAGGGGAAGTTTTTTTTTTTATCATAGCTTTTGTCCTCGGGCCTTATTCTGCTAATATTTAACTTCTGCTTATTATTTTAGACTCCATCTATCTCTACCATACCTACCAAATACATGTTCACATGCTCAAACATATGTACACTACCATTATGAATTATGAACTCCCATTCAGAATTATGAACTTGGGTGGTGCCTGTGGCTCAATGGGTAGGGCGCCAGCTCCAAATACCAAGGGTGGCGGGTTTGAACCTGGCTCTGGCCAAACTGCAGCAAAAAATAGCCAGACGTTGTGGCGGGTGCCTGTAGTCCCAGCTACTCAGGAAGCTGAGGCAAGAGAATTGCCTAAGCCCAAGAGCTGGAGGTTGCTGTGAGCTGTGACGCCATAGCACTCTACCGAGGGCAACAAAGTGAGACTCTGTCTCAAAAAGAAAAAAAAAAAGAAAGAATTACGAGCTAAAAACAAGTGAATTTCTTGCTTTGCTATCATTTTGGCACCGTTAATACTTTCCCCCTTGATCAGTTCTAAGGGGCCTCATTAGTCTGGAATCCCCGGGATACTAGAAACTCTCTCTAGAGTCTATTTTATGTTGTCTACCCAAAGTTTGACAAACTATAACAAAACTCTTGTCAATTTATTCCTGGAAAATTTTGAATTTTATATTGTAGCATTTTGAAATACATTTTGATTGTAGTGTTATTAATTCTTTAGTAATATTAATGTTACTTTTACTAATAGTATGTTAATATCTCATTTTTAGATACAGTTGGGCTCTTCAGTCATTTTAAGTCCAAATGCAAAACATTGATTGATTAAATGAATAGTAGAGTCGTGAATCCCAGAATAGGCAGACTTGTGTAGGCTCACATTTGCATATAACTATTTAGACCTCTCCAAATTTGAAAAGATGGGTATTATATATTTTCATTCTAGAAACAGATTTTAGGTATTCAAGAATATGTACAAAAAGAAAATAAAAACTTGTCTTGATGTGGCTCCCAGGAAATGTGTCTATTTAAAATGGAACAAATGGTTCTGCTGCCTAATGGGAAGACAGACCCTTCAAAATCCTAGGTCTATTACTAATCATGCCCCATATGAAAAGGTACATTTTATTCCCACCACCACATTTGGGGAAAAATGATACAATCTGTTTTCTTTAAGAGATTTCTAGACATCTTGAAGTGAACTGTTTTTAGAAGGGCCATTTCCATCCAGAAGGTGAGCATCTGGTTACCTAGATATGTACATCTACATTGTTGGCTCTAAATTAATAGATTGTGCCTGTGCTTTAGAAGTCTTCTATGCCCAGATATGGACATTTGAGACTAGAAGTCTCGATACATTTTATTTTTATTTTTATTTTTGAGATAGAGTCTAATGTTGCCCTTGGTAGAGTGCCGTGGCATCACAACTCATAGCAACCTCAAACTCTTGGGCTTTAGCAAGTCTCTTGCCTCAACCTCCCAAGTAGCTGGAACTAAGGTGCTCTCTATAACACCTGGCTATTTTTTGGTTGTAGTTGTCATTGTTGGTTAGCAGGCCCAGGCCAGGTTCGAACCCACCATCCCTGGTATATGTGGCCAGAGCCCTAACCACTGACCTACAGGTGCCAGGACTAGATACATTTTAATATGTTGACTACATTTTAAAGTTAACCGTTAAGTAGTATTTAAAACAACTGATTGGTGTCTTCACTAGTGACAATAGCATTATCAGAATGATAGTCAAGTCCCAGTGTGGTGGCTCACGCCTATAATCCCAGCACTTTGGAAGGCTGAGGTGGGTGGATCACCTGAGTGCAGGAGTTTGAGACCAGACTGAGCAAGAGTGAGACCTCATTTTTACTAAAAATAGAAAAGAAAACAACTAGCATGGTCTCAGGATGGGCGCCTATAGTCCCAGCTCTTTGGGAGACCGAGACCAAAGGATCTCTTGAGCCCGAGATTCTGAAGTTTCTGAGAGCTATGATGCCATGGCACTCTACCCAGGGTGACAAAGTGAGATTCTTTTAAAAAGAAAAAAAAAAACTGGCAAAGTGAAATGTGGTATTTATTTAATGTTCTATTGCTGAGAATTGAGTAGTATCAGGAGGTCCAGAGGTTGTATTTTGAAAATCACCTAATGCCCGAAAGAACTCATTGGATCAGGCAAGCCAAGGTTGAAATCCATGAAGATGTGCTGAGACTGGTAAGACAAAGCCACAGAAACCAGGAACTGAGGCTGAGAGCAAAAGGCAGGCCTGGGTAGAAAGTTTCAGCAACATGGAGTCAGGATCCCTGGCAGTTGGAATCCAGTGGGCGGCAGCAAGGAGGAAGGGGAGCAGAGAGAAAGGTACTTCTAACCGGCCCTAACTGGGTACAGCTATAAACTATAAAGATGAAAGTGTGTCAAAAAGGCCCCACCTCCTTTTTTTGCGGACTGCTGAGGCCATTCCATAGGTGATGGGCATTAATTGTAACCCATGCATGTGAGCTTCCTGTAAGCGGCTGAGAGCACTGATACGCTCAGGTCAGCAGTGCGGGTCTGAGCATGCTCTGTGCATTTCCTGGTGGGCGCTGCCTTCTTAGCTTGGCTCTCATTTCCCATTACTGCCTCGCTATGACTCACTGATGGCCCGCCACATGTCATTAGGCGGTTCAGCTGCCGCTCTCATTTCTCCCAAAGGTATACTGAAGTTTGCGTCTTGGCTTTCACGTTTTCTCTCCTGAGAGTTGGAGGAAGTGGCCCTTTGATAGTTTTGTTTGTTGAGTGGAATATTTACAGTGTCTTACAGTTTCAATTTTCCTTTCTTGTAGGTATTTAATCCTGATGACCTTTATTCAGGGGTCAATTTCTCCAAGGTTCTGAGTACTCTTTTAGCTGTCAACAAAGCGACAGAAGGTAAGCAAGGCTTGTGATTTATGAGTTCTGGGTGACATTTTTGCACCTGATGTTTCCGATTACCCTAGGAGCCATCTATGCCCAGGATTGTTTGATTGGTGCAAGTTTCTCCCCTGACCCCCAAAGAAAGCCCAACGAGTGTCAAATGTTTTAATTTTTCAAGGGTCAGGATTTAGAAATACTTATCACAAATGTTATCCCAATGCTGTGAATATATAACAATAAGAACCGAGAAGCAATTTCATTCAAAGCTCTCCAGTAGCCAACCGAGTGTAACGAGACAGAAAATAAAAAGGAAAAAATCAGTTCCCTTTTTCATAAAGTTTACAAAATAGTCGTCACTTCCCTTTTCCTACTAGAGACGTATTTTCTCATTGTTTTCCATATGTCTTTGTCCATATAAAGGAATCGCTCAGTAACCTTGCACTAGAAATGAAATCTTGGGTTCATAGAGAGTGAAGAACATATCTAATATGTTCATATTTAAATGTTTAACACTTATCACAATAGAGGTATTAAATATAAATCTAGTAAGTGCAAAGAAAATGATGAGAAACAGGGTATGACTTCACTCCTTCCACGATACAGCATTTTACTAACAGCTAAGTACTAATAATCACAGAATGCTTTTTTTTTTTTGAGACAGAGTCTCATTATGTTGCCCTCGGTAGAGGGCTGTGGCATCATAGCTCGCAATAACCTCAAACTCCTGGGCTCAAGTGATTCTCTTGCCTCAGCCTCCCGAGTCACTGGGACTACAGGCACTTGCTGCAACGCCCGGCTACTTTCAGAGACAGAGTCTCACTCTTGCTTAGGCTGGTCTCAAACTCCTTGAGCTCACGCAGTCTGCCCATCTCAGCCTCCCAAAGTGCTAGGATGACAGGTGTGAGCCACTGCATGCAACCTATAGTTAGAATGCTTTGAGCTCTTACCCTGGTATTATTATTATTGGGTCCATATTATAGATAAGGAAAGTCAGGCCCACAGTTGCCCAACTAGAAAGTAAGTGGCTGAGCTGGGATTCAAACCCACATCTGACTGACTCCAGAGTCCTTACGTCTGAACATGGGTCTTGCTGCTCAAACTATTGGAGATGCAACTGGCTATGTACCCAGCACTGCCAGGTGCTACAAAAGAAGTGCAAGATATGGTCCCACCCTTGAGAAAATTACTGTCTATTTAGGGACTCAACTTACCCACGTGAAACAATTAGAGAACAAGAGCAGACAATATAATCAAGTGCCAAATAGGATGGAGCATCTAGGAAGCTATCAAGTAATTATAGTTTTAGTCAAAAGAGCTGTATATAATAGCGATACATGTAAAAATACTTCTCCAAAGTTGTTCTTTTGCTATTTGGGAAAAAAAATGCTTTTGAGCTATTACAAGGCGTATAGCAGAAAGTACAGCTAATTCAAGCAACTATATTTAACACACATGACAACTATCCAGTTCTAGGCAGGGAGGATCGTGTAATGCTAACATTATGCCACACAAATTATACGTTCCTTTGCCAAACTCTGCTAGCAAGTTTTACAGTATCTTCCCTTGCCACAGATATTTATAAAAATACAAGGAGGTGAAAGTTAAAACCCACAGCCTCAAGGAAATTACTTGGATACTGAGCTTGTCGCCTAGGGAATGTTTGGGCTTTAGACTTTTGCAGTTTATATCTTTTAAAAATAAATGGAGAGGAAAAGAACCCTTATTTGAATTTGTCAAGAAGCCAACTTCTCTCTTTCGTACACTCTTAGCATACTGAAAACATCCTGCTCAGCTCTGGCCTGGTCACATTTCACAAGATTTCAAGGAAGAGGAGACTAATGAGTTTGACTTAAAAGAATAAATTATTCTAGTATCGAGGTTGCATCTTTTCCAGACGCACGCTTTCTCTCATCTTCATTCTCTCCCCCTCCCCACGCACACCAGGGAGATGCAGCATTATATATGCCACACGTATTGTTACATGTGAGTAGGAAAAGCACCATTGAGTTATGGACCAAAAAAACAAAGAGAGAAATTTGAAATATTTCAAAGTAATAAGAGCCACAAACAGCTGTTTGGTACCCAATATAGTTCTGCCTTGTATAACAGGACAAGCTATTGCAACTGGTTCAGGAGGGAAGAGTTGCAGGGAAATGGGTTAAGAGAAAATGTGGTTCTGTCGCTGTTTTTCATTCTACTGGAGAGCAATGGCCAGTAAGGTTAAGAATAAGAAGTTGGTCACTAAAAGGGGATGAGGTGGGGAGGGAGGCAGGGGCTGAAATACACTTGGCATAGTGATAACAGAATTGCAGCCAGGATGCTTACTTAGATAAGGTCCCATGAGACATGAAGTTATGTTGTAGATGTATTTTCTGCCCCGTGTGGTTGGTTCCTTTACCATGCCTTTTCCTCTTTTCACAGATCAGCTATCAGAAAGACCATGTGGACGTTCCTCTTCTCTTAGTGCTGCTAATAGATCTCAGACAAACCCACAGGGAGAAATTTCTAGCGCTGCTCCAGGGCTGCAAAGGCAGTCAAAGGCAGTGGTAAGTATAGTCTCCAATTCTCCCTGTCTGTTTCAAAATCCATAAAATTAGATCAATATCCTAGTTGCCTCTCCATATGTGGGGAGATAGCCATTGTGTTTGTCTTGGATAGCACCGAGAAAACCGGTTAGAAACTGAGCACCAATTCAGGCTGGCCCAATGGAACAAATCAGAGGCATGTGGATGGGAGAGTCCAAAAACATTTTAAAAATCTGGGTTGAAGCCTAAGCTCTATCTCTTACTAGAAATGGGCGAGTCACTTAACTGAGAATGCTACACAAATGTAAGTCACTATGGTGACTCCCTGATGGCAGTCCGCTGTGAATTTTCCTTATCTGTTGTTTTATTGGGAGCGCTAAATGGTGCCTGGTACATAGTAGGGAATGAATAATTATCAACTACTATCCTCATGGTTGTCATTGTTATTTTTTTCCTCTTTGCATTCCTATTTAGAAAGATCCAACTTGAAATATACCAGTCTATGATGAACTTCTATATTGGGATGTCCCAGTTATCTTTGTATTTGGTCTTATTGGGAGCTTTTATTTCAGAAGAAACAGCCCAGCTTCTGCTGATTGGGTGGAAAATCTTCTGCTTTATTCCCTGTCAAAAGCTACCCACTTGCAGTAAGCCATCATGAACTATTACTTCCAAAGCACTTAAATGGGTGGTTCTTAACCTCTTTGAGATTAGAGATGCCTTCAAGAGGCTGATGAGCACTATGGTTCTATATCCCTGGGACCCTCCCTAATCGTATGCAGGATCTCACTTAGTTGAACTCATTTGGGCAAAGATTCATTGCACTTACGGATTCTTAAAGGGGTGTGTAACCCTCAAAAGCCCAATTCATTCATAACAGGTTAAGAACTCCTGACTTAGAGAAAAAAAAAAAACAAAACCCAGAACTTCTGACTTAGGTAGCTATGGAGTATTTGATCTTTGCATATATATAAGCCTAAGCCAAATTAAGACCTCCTTAGTAACTGGAAGATAAGAGGCAGATTTTATTAGAGTAGGTGTATGTTGGGTCATGGCAAGGTGGAATAGTTTGTCACTCTACTTTGTTACCTGGCTTAGTTAAACAGATATCTTTAAATGGTTGATGGAGGGAGAGGGAAATGAAAGCTATGATGCCCTTTAAAATACACATTTTCATAAGTGCGAAACTTTGCATACAGTTTTGAGGGTTTTGTTAATCTCTCCTGAGACCCATTTATGGACTCCTAATCATACTTAGCCTGCAGGACACTGCTACTCAAGCCCTAACAAGGCTGGATGAGCCTCCGTGCTGGCATCTGAAAATTGTTTATTTGCTTTCAAGACCTACTGTCATAGATAAGTTGGGGGAATTGGACTCCATTGGGTACTGGTCAAGGACCCAGGCACTCTCTGTACCCAGCAAAATGTTGACTAATTACAAATTTAGTCGACTATAAAAATGCTTTGAAATATGACCACTTTTAAAATAGGAAAATATTGTGTAACCTTATAACTTATGAAAAGGAATCTGTTTAACATATAGAATAATAATTAATAATATTGCTAATGTTTATTTTTACTGTGAAAATAAAAGTGACAAGGATAAAGAGGAGGGCAAAACATCTCTTTGAGGAGATATTCCTACTTCCCTCCACAATCACTGGCTTTTCTGTAAATAAAAGTCAAACTATCAATCTCTCATCTGCTTTCCATCGATTGGCTTAGGTGACAGGTGGACGGACTCCCTGGTCCGGCAACACTAAGGTAAAAACCCAGGAACGAGTTAGAACTAGGGTTGGATTCTTGGTTACCCCACGTTATTTGCCTAAATCATTTCTACTTCTCCTTCATTGACAGGAGGATGATCTGGTGTGGATTTTGTTTTTTAGGAGATGACAGAAAATGGAAGTCACCAGTTGATAGTAAAAGCAAGATTCAACTTTAAGCAGACTAATGAAGACGAGCTGTCAGTCTGTAAAGGTGACATCATTTATGTCACTCGAGTTGAAGAAGGAGGCTGGTGGGAAGGCACATTAAATGGGAAAACAGGCTGGTTCCCTAGTAATTATGTCCGAGAAATTAAATCCAGTGGTAAGTGAAGCTTCTAAAAGCTGTTTGAATGTGACTCTTGTACTTTCTTGGTGCTCTTGCTAAAAATCTTGTAGTTTTAATTGGTTAACTGAAACTGTTTATACTTGTATGTGCATGTCAAAAATAAGACTAGAACAGAACTGGGAAGAATCTGTGATTAGATATTTTGAAACAAAGTTGTATTTAGATTACATAGAGGCAGCAAAAAGCTAAAAAAGCAAAGGAATTCAAAGCTCAGACAACTGTTCCATCTTAACCATTTCCCTTTATGTCTACTAATTCTAGCTCGCGTAATATAGTACATGGTCCTTCCTGCTACTCTAGGAGTCACCCTGGCAGAATACAATAATATGAGAGGCTGGGTGCTAACTTCCTTTTTTAGCCCTAAGTCCTTTAAGCACAGTTAAGACTAAATGCCTGAGAGATGTGTGGAGGGATAACAATCATAGGACTGTGGGAAGCTGTCTGGCCTCTTTGATTCGGAACAAGATTGCCCTCATTGCATACTGCTGGCTGCTTTCCCTTTTTCTGCAACAATATCCAGAGAATGAAATCTAATTGCCTTTCAGTAGTCTTTCTTTTTTTTTTTTTTTGAGACAGAGCCTCAAGCTATCCCTCTGGGTAGAGTGCCATGGCATCACGCTCACAGCAACCTCCAACTCCTGGGCTCAAGCGAGTCTCCTGCCTCAGCCTCCCAAGTAGCTGGGACTACAGGCGCCCGCCACAACGCCTGACCATTTTTTGGTTGCAGCCATCATTGTTGTTTGGCGGGCCCGGGCTGGGGATTCGAACCCGCCACCTTAGGTGTATGTGGCTGGTGCCTTAGCCACTTGAGCCACAGGCGCCGAGCCTCAGTAGTCTTTCTTAAAAGAGTTTTTTTCTGGTAGTTCGCTTGCCCATTATTATTTAAGAAGGTAGGCTCTGCTTCTATTACAAAAACAAAACCGAAACAAACCTTTATACATAAAAAATATGTTGCAATATAGATAAACAGTAGTCAGTCATTCACACTATTACATCTCTCCTTCCTTCCTTTTCTTTCTTTTTTTCTTTCTTGACAGACTGTCACCCTGTCACCCTCAGTAGAGTGCTGCCGTGCCATAGCTCACAGCAACCTCAAACTCTTGGGCTCAAGTGATCCTCTTGCCTCAGCCTCCTGAGTAGCTGAGACTACAGGTGCTGGCCACAACCCCCAGCTAATTTTTAGTAGAGATGGGGGTCTCTCTCTCTCTCGGGCTGATCTCCAGTTCCTGACCTCAAGCAATCCTTCTGCCTTGGCCTCCCAGAGGGCTAGGATTACCGTCATGAACCACTGCACCTGGCTTATTACATCTCTTCATTTTTCAAAAATATTTATACCAGGGCTCTTTTGAATGGTTAGCTCCTCAGTGCTGTGTTGATGTCTTCATTGCTACTTTAATGCCTCAGATTGATACAATCAATCAATTAGACACCCTATAAATAAAATAAAGCATTATAAAAACAGTTAACCCTTGACTAATATGGAGTTAAGGGTGCTGACCCCCTGCATAGTCGAAAATCCTTGTATAACTTTTGACTCCCCAAAACTTAACTACTTATAGTCTACTGTTGATCAGAAGCTTTACTGATAACGCCAGGTTGATTAACGCATATTTTGTATGTTATGTGTATTTATACTGTATTCTTGCCATAAGCTGGAGAAAAGGAAATGTTATTAAGAAAACCATAAGGAAGCTGGGCGTGGTGGCTCACACCTGTAATCCAAGCACTCGGAGAGGGCATGATAGGTGGATGGTTTGAACTCAGGAGTTAGAGATCAGCCTGAGCAAGAGCAAGACCCCCATCTCTAAAAATAGCCGGGTGTTGTGGCAGGCATCTGTAGTCCCAGCTACTCAGGAGCCTGAGGACTCAACAAAGTGACAGTCTGTCTCAAAGAAAAAAATCACAAGGAAAAGAAAGTATAGTGACTATTCATTAAGTAGAAGTGGATCATCATAAAGGTCATCCTGTTGTATTCACATTGATCAGGGGAAGGAGGAGGAGGAAGATGAGGGGTTGGTCCTGCTGTCTCAGGGGTGGCAGAGGTAGAAGAAAGTCTGTTTATAAATGGACCCGTGCAGTCCAAACTCCTGTTGGCCAAGGGTCAACTGTACAATGTAGGTAACACCACCTCTTCTTCCCTTTGCTCCCTTCCCCTGATAACCACCATTAGCAGCTTTTCCCTAAAGCATTTAAAATAAAATTTAGTTTGCACAGTTTTCCGTGTTCTGTGTTGGGTTGAAAGGGGTCAACTCCTTGCATGGAATATATTTACTAACAGATTTATGTTTGTGGAGACGTCTCAGCATTTTTAATACTGGGAATCAAGAAATTTCTTTTGAACCCTAAAGCATTTTCACAGGTCTTGCCTTGAATTTTCTTGCTTTTGATGAATTTCACAGATTATTTTTAGCCTTTACTACATTCAATTGATGTAATTTGGTTGTCAGGATCCCTAAATGGTTTTTCAGCTTCACTCTAACGTTGTTCCCTGATGTAGTGTCTTCATGTGCAAAAGTAAAAGGAACAACGCTCGTGGTCTTGTTTGGGAACTCCCAGCATTTTTGGTGACGGGGAAATGGACAGTGTGCCCTCACTTTCTCGGCCCTCACTGTAATGTTCCTCACTGTTTGCCCTGCAGAGCAGTCTGGCCATTCCCGATGGACTGCTCCAGGCTGTTTGTCCTGGTCTCTCTGCCCTTCCCTTTAAATTTCTCCTATATTTTCTTTGGTTTAGGATTCCATTTATGAGTCATATAGCAAGCTCTAGCTTTGATTTAAAACCTTGGGTAACCCTTAGAAGCATCTAACCCAACTGTCAGGGATAGGTCTGGGCTGCTTGGGCCAGGAAGCCTAATAGTCAGGGAAGAAGAGTATGGAGTAACATCTCTTGTGGCTTCCTAACTGGCATCCCTGCTCCTGTCCTTGTCATTCTTGTATACTAATCTAGACTAGGAAGCAAGAGTGATTGTTTGAAAATGCAACTTGGAGCATAGAGCCCCATCTCAAAAAGAATAAAGGCCAAGGTCACCACTATAGCCTGTAAGACCCTCTAAGATCTGGTCTCCCATTTCTTCTCTGGCTTCCTTCCTTTTTTTTTTTTTTTT